CAAATGGTGGCCCAATCTCTTCTTCAAAACCTCCCGTGTTAGGGAGCACCACAACTTTCTGGAGGCAGGCAGTTCCCCGGGTTAATTGTCCTCCCTGTTAGGAAGCTTCTCCTTAATTCTTCTCTCCTTGATCAGTTTCCATCTGTTGCTTCTTGTCCTGCCTTCAATCCATCCATCCATCCATCCATCCATCCATCCATCCATCCAAATAAAGCTGGAGGGCACCTTGGAGGTCATCTAGTCCAGCCCCCTGCCCAAGCAGGAGACTTTACACCGTTCCAGACAAACGGCTGTCCAGACTCTTCTTCAAACCCCCCAGTAATGGAGCAGCCACGACTTCTGGAGGCAACGTCTGTTCTGCTGGTTAATTGTCCTCCCTGTCAGGAAGTTTCTCCTTAATTCCAAGTTGCTTCTCTCCTTGGTTAGTTTCCCTCCGTTGCTTCTTGTCCTGCCTTCGGGTGTTTTGGAGAAGAGGTGGGCCTTCTCGCCCTCGGATCCTGGGAGGGGGCTGCCGGGTCCTTCCCTTCGTTAGACTCGACCTACCCGATTCCTGCAACTCTTCTTCAAAGGGTTTGTGCCCCGGAGCAGAGTTCCCCAAAGTTTCCGGCTCTGCGGACCGGGGGTGGGGGTGGTTCTGCATGAGTGTCCAGCAAGCGTGAGTGTGTGCAGCTCTTACTTGTGTCAGTGGCTTGCACGCACACCTGCAGCTCAAGTGGAGTACGTGTGTGCTAAGCCAAGGGAGGGTGTGGGGGGGGGATTCCATGCTCACTGGCCATTTCCGCAGCCCCGTTGCACAGCCCTCACCTTGGGGAGCCCCAAGCCCTTGGCAGTAAGGCAGGGGTGTCCAGACGTGGGGGCTTTAAGACTTGGGGACTTCAACTCCCAGAATTCCCCAGCCAGCATAGAGCCGGGAGGCTTCGACTGGAGGGAGACCCCAAGGGCCCTGGAAAAGGGGCTCCTGGCCTCATGGGACCTGAATTCAGACGTCGCGGTCTCCCAGGGTCACTCGATCCCCTTTTGCAACCTTCTGACCAGCAAAGCCAATGGGGAAGCCGGATTCACTTAGCGACCGTGTGACTAGTTTAACGAAGTGCAGTCATTCGCGTAACAGCCGTGGCCAGAAAGGTCGTAAAAAATGGGGCAAACCCCACTGGACCGCCGTTTCGCTGAGCAATGTGAGCCTTGGGCTCCGTGGGGGTCACAAGGGGGGGAGTCGCTGCGTAGGGCATGGGCTGGCCTACTCCAGCCAAGCAGGCGGCAGAAGTGACGGCGGGAGGGTGGTACTTCCAGGCTTGCCAGAGGGAGCCAATGTCGGCTGGAGGGAGCCTGGCGAGGGCTGCGGTGGGGGGGGCGGGCGAGGGTATCCAGTGGCGAGCAGCTTCTGCAGTTTCGGGAGAACCAGCCGCCTGCAGCTTCCCTGCCCACACTTCTCCCCCCCCCCCCCGGCTCTTCCGAGCGTGCCCAGGGTGACTCAGCCGGCTGAGCCGGTCTTCTGCTGGCACCTGCGCGCACATTGGGGGGGGCAGGAGGTGGGCGGCCTTCGCAGCCTCTGACTCATCTGGGCGCTTTTGGCTTTGCACACTTGGCTGGCAGAGCTCAGCTTGCTCTGGGGTGGAGCAGGGGGGGGGCATTGCAGGGGCCCAGGTTGAAACCCTGCCAGCTGCCGGTCTATGTGCTTAAGTTGGGTGGGTGGGGGGTCCTGAGAAAATGGGGGTCTTCTGAAACCCGAGAAGAGGGGAGGGGGGGTTCTTGGTGGGCTGCTCAGATTCCCTCCAGGCAGCCGCTGGGCTGGAAAGGCGTCCCACAAAGTGCCCCCCTCTGTAAGATTTAAGTGCAGGGAGTCCTCGACTTACGACCACTGTGGAGCCCAAAATTTCTGTTGTTAAGTGGGACAATTGTTAAGTGTTTTGTTACATTTGATGACCTGTCCGGCCACAGTTGTTAAGCGAATCACTGCAGTTGATAAGTTAGTAAGTTACAAAGGAACTGTGACTTACGACCATTTTCACACGACGGTTGCCACACTCCCAGGGTCACCTGATCAAAATTCAGACGCCTGGCAACTGACTCTTATTTATGACGGTCGCCATGTCCTGGGGCCTCGTGATCCCCTTTTGCAACCCTCTGACCAGCAATGTCAATGGGGAAGCCGGATTCACTTAACGGCCGTGTTACTCGCTTAACAACTGCAGTGATTCACTTAACAAATGCGGCAAGAAAGGTTGCAAAGTGAGGCCGAGCTCCCTTAACAGCTGTCTCACTTAGGCAACGTAAATTTTGGACTCAGTTGTGGTTGCAACTTGAGGGCTACATGTACAAATAAAATACTATTAAAAATACGAATACCTGAGGCTTCCCGGGTGTTTCTAACTCTCCCCCTCTCCCCCCCCCCCCAGAGTTCTGCCACATCGACCGGCCCCTGTGCCACAATGAGGACGAGCAGCTTAGCTTCGAAGCCGTGCGCAGCATCCACAAGCAGATGGACGACGATGCCAATGGCAATGTGGACGTGGAGGAGAGCGACGAGGTGAGGCTCCCGGGGGGGGCCTTGGCAGCCTCTGGGCTGCGCCCCCTTCCTTCCCCGCTCGCTTGGTGGGTTTCCCCCCTTTCAGCTGACCCAGAGTTAGGTGGGGGCTTGTAGAGCCGAGGTGGCTCAGTGCTTAAATGCAGCACTGCAGGCCACTTCAGCTGACTGTTATCTGCAGTTCNTTTATTGGGAGCTGAGGCTCTCTGCAAGAATCTCAACCATGAACGGTCAAAATGAATTGGAGGCAGATGAGAGTCAGTGGAATCCAAGACTCGAGGCTGATGACGTGTTTGACTCTTCCCTCCCCTCGGGCTCAGCCCGGTCATCTCCTGTGGCCCAGGCCTCCTGCGCAAGAGGTTGGGGAAAGGCCAGGGAGAGGCAGGAGGCAACTTCCTACGGGGAGGGGACTCTCCTCTCCTGCCCCCTGCCCTCCCCTCCCCCTGGTGGGCCTTGGTTTCCTCCGCTTCCCCCTCCTCCTTCCTGATTCGGCTCCCCCTCGGCTGCTTCTGCCTCCTCCAGAGGCTTCTCTCCTCCCGCGAGGGAACCTGTTTCCGTTCCTCACAGGATTGTTTGTTTTGAAACTTTTTTACACTGGGAGGTTCTGTTTTTTCCAAGAGTTTGGCAAGGTCTTTCGTGCAAGACGGCTGGCTGGGCCAGAGGGAAGGATGTGACAATCATGAGTCTTTCTCAAGGCGTCTTTTGGGGGGCTCCTTAGTGGAGATGTCCAGGCCGAGAGACTCGGGGTGACGTCGGAGGAATAGCCCCCAAGCAGCTTTAAGGCCCCTGGACTCCAACTCCAGAGCCGGCTGAGGGATTCTGGGAGTTGAAGTCCACGGGTCTTAAAGTTGGACACCCCCTGCCTTAAAGGGGAAGCACGGGAGGCAGTTGGGATGGGAGTGAGGGGGCTGAGGAGGGCTTGGGGGTCTCTCTTCCTCTGGCCACGGAGACTGGCTCCGTCCCGCAGCTTTAGGGGTCCCTGGGGGGAGATTCATCCAGAGCAGAGGGGAGGGCTGGCTCTGGAGGGAGGAGGGGGGGAAGGGCCCTCTTCTGAGCCTCTGATCTCTCCTGGGGGTGGGGGGGGACCCATAGCCCCCCTCCCCATCGTTCTCGATGATGCCCAAAGGACTCTGAGCATCGGGGGGGGGGCCCTCCCTCTCCGTTGAGGCCTTTGAGAATTTCTAAATCTCTTTCCCAAAGAAGTTCCTTTGCAGCGTGGAAGTCCGGGGGGGGGCTTCCTGCTGCCGGTGCCCAGGCGCTGGGGAAGACCGGGAAGCCCTCCAGGAACAAAGAGCCAGGCCTCCCTGCAGGCGTCAGGCTGACACGGGTGCTGAGAGCATCCTTAGATAAGAGGGCTGCTCTCTGCCAACACTCCCTGCTCACCTCTCCTGCTCTGGCTCCCTTCTCTGGGGGGGGCTCTGGGCTTGCAGCCGGCTGCTCCAGGGCCCCTCCTGTCAGCCGGCTGCAGAAAGGAGGCTGAAGCCCTGGAAAGAGGGCCGAGAAGGGCCGAGGGGCTGCTTCCAAGGGGGACCAAGGTCTGATGAAAAGAAGGACCGGGGGGGACAGGATAGAAACCCCCCGATATCTGCGGGAGGATTGTTTTGGAATTGTAACCCCTCCCCTCCCCAGTCAGGGACTAAGGTGGCCAGGGATAGAAGTTAGATGGACGGAGGGACGTTTTGTGCCCCCAGAGGCCCTGTCCCATGGGGGGGCTGGAGCTTGGGCTGGGGGATGTTGGTTCCAATCCAGCCCAACCAATCCACCCCCCCCCTTTCCTCCCTGAAGGTGACTTCCGTGTGTTTGTGTAGCTTTTAGGGGGAGGGAGGGGGAAAGGCCCTGGCCTCTCTGGGCCTGCTGACCCAGAGCTTGGCTCCCCAGCCCCATCTGAGTCGATCTGCCTGGCCGGAGCACCTCTAGCCAGAGTGACCAATGACCCCTCAGCTGACTCAGGCAGCTGGGCAGTCTTTCCGCTGCTCCTGCTGAAGCTCAGAGGCTCCTCCGAAAGCAGCTGGAGCCCCGGTGGCAGCCGTCCAGCTGTGCCGGAGGGGGCAGAACAGCTGGGAAGCCCCTCCTCCTCCACCCCCAGCCATTCTCCCTTCTGGTCAGCAAAGGGACGGAGCAGCAAACCCCCTCCTCTCTCACACATTGGGAAGGGTGTGTGTGTGTGAGAGAGAGATGGAGGGAGAGGGAGCGAATGAGCAGAAGGTTCCCTGGGGAAGGAAGGAAGGAAGGAAGGAAGGAAGGAAGGAAGGAAGGAAGGAAGGAAGGTGGCCGTTGGAGGCTGGGACTTTTCCTTCCTCAATGAGCTGCAGAATCCAAAGGGGGAAGAGAGGCGGCTGTGGCCCTTGGCAGGAGCTCCTCCATTTATCCCCGGCTTCATCCCCCTCCCCAAATGCTTCTTTACTTGACGACAAGGCCAGCAAGGAGGCTCTTGGCCTCCAGGCTCCGCCCGGCTGTGCAGAAAAACCGGCAGTCCTTGACTTACGACCACCATTCATCCCACAATTTCTGTCTCCATCAGCTCCAGTCTTCTCCCACCCCCAGCCCTTTCTCCCTGCTGACTGTAAGCACAGCTGCACCAATAAGCAACAATAGAAGGGAGTTTATACCTCCACATCCTTTCACAGCAAGTCCTGACGGAGCAGAGCTGAGCAGAGGAGTGGTCCAAATTAATGCTGACTGGGATGGGAGGACCCCCCCCCCCGGAAGCCCCCTCCCCCCAAGGCTCTGGAAAAAGAAATCTCAAAGGTGGCAGAAGCCATCTCCTCCTTCCTCTTTTTCCTTCCCTTCTTTTCCTTCCCTTCCTTTCTTTTCCTTTCCTTTCTTTTCCTTTCTTTTCCTTTCCTTTCTTTTCTTTTCCCTTCCTTTCTTTTCCCTTCCTTTCTTTTCCTTTCCTTTCCTTTCTTTTCCCTTCCTTTCTTTCCTTTCCTTTCTTTTCCTTTCCTTTCTTTTCCCTTCCTTTCTTTTCCCTTCCTTTCTTTTCCTTTCCTTTCCTTTCTTTTCCTTTCCTTTCTTTTCCCTTCCTTTCTTTTCCCTTCCTTTCTTTTCCTTTCCTTTCCTTTCTTTTCCTTTCCTTTCTTTTCCCTTCCTTTCTTTTCCTTTCCTTTCTTTTCCTTTCCTTTCCTTTCTTTTCCTTTCCTTTCTTTTCCCTTCCTTTCTTTTCCTTTCCTTTCCTTTCTTTTCCCTTCCTTTCTTTTCTTTTCCTTTCCTTTCTTTTCCCTTCCTTTCTTTTCCCTTCCTTTCTTTTCCTTTCCTTTCCTTTCTTTTCCTTTCCTTTCTTTTCCCTTCCTTTCTTTTCCCTTCCTTTCTTTTCCTTTCCTTTCCTTTCTTTTCC